GCTTTTTTTTTTTTTTTTTAGATGATTCTCATTGGGTATTCAAGGACACACTAAACTATGGAGGCAGTTTCAGTGACCAAGCTTGTTTGTGGGAACATAGAGTAGACCTAGGTACTTAGCCTTGAGCAATCACCAATAGCTGGAGAATCTCAGATGATATGGATCCTCTCTCTAAAAAAAGCATATACAAATATAACATTATAAATGAGCTTTCAGGGTATTTTAGTCAGAGTTTCTTCAATCAATCCCACATTAACTACTGTTTTTTAAGGGGCGTAACTTGCATATTTACTTACTCCCTTACAAATTTTCTTAATTTGAAGTATGTAACATCTTTTCTAAACACCTCATTTTAAAAGTAAAAACAGTTGTTGTTTTTAAGAAGAGTTTTTTACGTTTAAGTAACCTAAAAATTGTGTTACACAAATCAGTTTTTAACTATAAATATTTTTAGTACTAATAGAATTTTTTAGTTGATTTTAAAGATAGAGGAAGGGCAAGAGAGAGGTATTTGTTGTTTCGTTTATTTATGCATTCATTGGTTGCTTCTTGTGTGTGCCCTGACTAGAGATCAAATCCGCAACCTGACGTATTGGGATGATGCTCTAACCAACTGAGCTACCCAGCCAGGGCTAGAATTTTTTATGTAATAGATTTTCTATTAAAAGATGAAGGCAAATTAGTTCATACATGTTTTCTCTTAGATTTGGGAGACAGAAATTAAAAAGGGCTATATACTTAGCATTTATCTGGCAAATAAAATATAGCTTTGTCTTGCAAAACATTTCCCAACCCTGATTAGCACCTTGTTGCTTTGCAGGTATGGAACACAATCATTGGTTTCTCTAATGTATGTAATAGGGAAAACCATCAGTACAGATTTACAGGTCATGGAGGTAAGTACTTTAGATATTATGAATTTTTTAAAAAAAATTTATCTTTATTGTTAAAAGTATTACAAATATCCCCCTTTTCCCCCCATTGATCCCCTCCACCCTATATCCCTTCCCACAGGCCTTCACCACACTATTGTCTGTGTCCATGGGTTATGTATTTATGCATGTAAATTCTTAGGTTAATCTCTCCCCACCTACCCACCCACCCTTGCCTTCCCTCTGAGATTCATCAGTCTATTCCATGCTTCTTTGTCTCTGGATCTGTTTTGTTCACTGGTTTATTTTGTTCATTAGATTCCTCATATGAATAAGATCGTGTGATACTTGTCTTTCTCTGACTGGCTAATTTTGCTTAGCATAATACTCTCCAGGGCCCACCATGCTGTCTCATAGGGTAAGGGATCCTTCTGTTTTACAGCTGCATAGTATTCCATGGTGTAAATGTTCGAGAAGATGCTTGATATGATTTCAGTCTTCTTGAACTTGTAGAGACTTATTTTGTGTCCTTGCATGTGGTCTATCTTTGAGAATGTCCTATGTACACTTGAGGAGAATGTATATTCTGCAGCTTTGGGATGAAATGTTCTGTAAATGTCAATTAAATCCATCTCATCTGTGTGTCATTTAGAGTCACTGTCTATCCAGTAAAGTCAGTGGGGTGTTAGAGTCCCCTACTATGACTGTATTGCTGTTGATCTCTCCTTTAAAGTCCTCCAGAAGTTTTGTTTATTTTTCAGTCTGTGTGAGTCTTTTGTTCCGAGGTGGGTCTCTTGTAGACAGCATAACTTGGGTCTTGTCTTCTTACCCACTCAGCTTCCCTGTATCTTTTGATTGGAGCATTTAACCATGGCCTGTAACTATATTAATAAAAATAGAAAGGGCTTGTGTAAATAAGAAAGGAAAATAAACTCCTCTGCCCCAGCAAGTAAACAAATGAATGAGTAGATCATAAAGTCCTGAAATTTGATCCTGAACAAGAAAAAGAGAAGCAGTAAGTTATGTAGCTGTTGTAATGAGAGAGAAGAACTGCTAATTCCTGGAGGAATTATCTTCCTTTAAATTTGGCTGGCCTGAGGCTGAGCTGTCAGGACCTGATTTATCAGGGATTCCCTGGACTGGAGAGCGAAGGGCACACCCAAAAATGCTGGAAGGGAAGTTTCTAGAATCTTCCCAGTGTTGTGTTTTTTAAAGTGTATTAGTTTATCTTTGTAGTTTATCTCTGAACTCAGTAAAGTTTTGTTGTTGTTTTTGTTTGTTTGTTTTTAATTTTTATTGATTTTTAGAGAGGAAGGGAGAGAGAAGGAGAGAGAGAGACAGAGAGAGAACAACATTGTGGTTGCCTCCAGCACATGCCCCAACCGGGGATCGAATCTGCCACCTTTTAGTGTCCTGGACAACGCTCCAACCAACTGAGCCACCCTTGCCAGGGCTTGTTGTTTAATGAAGATTGTATCAGCCTAAGTTTGGCAGTCGTCAAAATTTCAAAACTCTATAGTTACTGATAGTTTATTTTTTAAAATGTAAAACTGGATTTGACAGTGATTAAATTTTTGCAATTTTTAAAACAAGTTAGCTATTGTGAATATCCTTGTCCAAAACCTATTAATGCCCAACAGTCCTACTATCATGTATTAATTCACATGATAATATCGAAAATAATTGCTAAAAAGAGAATGGAAAGAAAGTCACATGGGTCCCTTCTGCTTCCATACCAGCAGTTTCTGTACACTCTTTGCTTCTTTTGCTCTGTTCCCTATACTCTTCCCTGCTGGCGCCTGGCCTCACTCACGCTCTCGAGCACACTTGAAACCCCACCGACAGTGCCACAGATCCTCACTCCCCTCCCACCCACTGCAGGTGCACGATCATATGGGGCTGCGGGGACATGGCTACCCCTACCTGGCAGGGGTGGGCAGGGGTGGGAGAGGGTGGGAGGTTTGTTCTGGTTTCTTAACCTACTTTTTTCTAGAACCTTCCTTTTCTTTTACATTGTAATTGGTCTTGATAGCCCTATTTCTACTCAATTTCAAGTGCATTAGGGTTTAAGTGACATTTTGTGAGCTGGCATGGGTACACTGTCATCTCTCATGTTCTGAGTTCTAATTCATTGATGGAGAAATAGACTTGGAATATAACTAACTAGTCAGTTGGGGTCTGGCTTGTACATAATATTGCATATGTTCCTATAACTGAATGCTTGAGTTGACTCAATGAAGGAATTTAGCCAATGGACAAATCCATTATCTAAATATTTGTAATAAAGACACAAAGGATGCCTGCCAGTTTTGAGCTTTGAAAGTTGCAAAGTATCTTTTGAAATAAGAAAAGATCTCACTGTGTCTCTGTCCACAAATCTTGTGCGATATCCAGTATGCATTCAGTAGATCTTTATTGAGCACCTACTAGGTGCTTTGAGGACAGGTCAATAAATAAAATAGATGAAGTTCCCACTTCACAGAGCTTCCAGCCTACATCTGATTCTTCAGGGTAGGTGGTCTTCCCACATTTTTCTACCCATTCCAGCTGTCACTGGCCATTTGCAAAATCATGTCGCGACTTAGCATGAACTGTCTTGTTTTGTCTGAATGAGAAGTTAGATTGCCCTGACCATCTCTCTGTCCTTTCAGCTGCAGCAGTTTTTCAGTCCCATGTTGGAGGAGCACCAGAGGCTCACAGTTCATGCCAAATTACAGACAATAAAGAACGAAAATCTGAAAAACAAAAACCGAAGTGCCAGGATAGCTGCATGGCTACGGAAAAACACATAATTTAGTGGCCACCTTTGGCATTCCCCTTGCATATTATAATGTCGTTTGCTGACAGTTTTGTCGTCCAGTACTCTGTGAGTCTGAAAACCACGTTTCATTGTTTGTATTTCAGTCACATTTACTGCTCAGAGTCCTGTCCCTTCCATGTTGTCCCATTGGCTCTGAGCTCAGTGACTGCTGAGGAGTTTGCCAGCACTGCTGTATTTGGGGGGAAGATTTCACTTCAAGTCGGGCTATGAAACCACAGAATTTACTTTAAATGCTTTGTAAAAACAAATTTACCTCAGAAACTCTTGCTTATTCTGCTGCGAAGGCCAGTGGAATATTCAATCATTGGCTAAGTGAGTACATTCTTTTCTGAAGGAAATACAGATTTGCAATACTCCAGGGTTTATTTAGTTCAAATATTTACCAGAATTATGAGCAAATAACACACGGGTATAAAAGATAGAAACTAGAAGAATGATACTCCCTGGAAATCAGAAAAGCTGAAAAAAAGCGAGTTTTAGGAAGAAGGAACAGACAATATTACAAGCCATGTGAAGTGCCCTGCAGGCGAGAACTGTGGCTGCTGCCCCTCCTGTCTCCCCAGAGCGCCTAGGCTTCGTGCCACACTTCGCTGGCTCCTGACTGCAGGGGGTCTCAAAAAGACCCAGGGTCGCAGGGCCCCTGAAGCGTCTGTGGGCTCACGCTGGAGGCCGCGCTAGAGAGGGAGGCCCTGCCTTGCAGCTCTCGGCTGCATTTGCCTGTGGCACCCTTTTAGCCAAAGTTTATGAGCAAAATTAATGATGTGAACAGACGGTAGCAATTATGGGCTAATCTTCAGCACAAAGGGAGATGTTCAAAGAAAGAGAGATGGAACTAAACGGTTAATCAGAGCACAACTTTTACAGCTCCTCACTCAGGGCATTAAGTTTGACATGTGGTTTCATCTGGCCAAATTGAACCTCCTTGTAGTTTGGACAACTTTAAACATTTTCATCGGTCACAATGTATGGAATGACCTTGGTCTTACTACCCCTGATTAAATCAGGACAGCTAAGGCAAACCCTCCCACTCTAGAGTTTGTGTGTATCTGACTGAAGTCTGTGTTTTAATTTTGATTTTGTTTTTGTAGAATGGGGATTAAACTACAGATCTCCTATCTACCTCGGAGTGATATTGTAAAGACTAAGGAATGCGTCAATTAAAGGCCTTTAAATATGTTATATGAGCTCAAGACAATGTGATCTAAGGTTTTTACCCAATTTCTTATGTAATGTTAATGCAGCTACAAATTAAAATGCAATTCAAAAGCTCACCTGTGTATTCACTTTACAGGAAGATGCTCCCTGAGTGGGAGTGGGAGTGGGAGGCTGTGTGGCGTGGCCGTGAGGACAAACCAAAGCACAGTCTACTCAGATATGACCGTGGGTCACAGCTCAGACAGCTTTTCCTTGAAATTTAGGAATTTGAAATTTAAGCAATAAAATACCCCCATGCTTTCACATTGTTGTATATGAGATATCTTCCTATGTTTTCTTAAACATTCTTTCTGTTTCCTCTGATCATCAATTGATAACCATGTCACATGTCCTCTCAACTGCATTTCCCTCCCCCCCCCTTCTCTCCCTGCGGCTCCCCTGCCTTCCCTCTCCCTTTCCAGCATCCTCTGCCTGGTTGTCCATGTCCTCTGTCCTTGGCCTGCCTACCCCGCCATGTCCTCATTCCACCAAGGGCACCCGGAGGCTGGCACTCGGGGCCACAGCAGGCTCTGATGCCTGTCATTGGATGATGCCAAGCACTGCCTCATCCCACCGAGAAGCACCTTGGCAGGGCTCCCCAGACATCTGTTGAAAATTAAAGTCCCATCATATCTTAGCTTCTGTAGTAATTAAACATTGCTGAAAGTGTTTATCCAAAATCAAATGCTCAAATATCTGGTTAATAGCCCTTCCTCCAAATATGAAAAGGAATTTTGAATAATGTAATTTTTTTTCTGCCTTGGATAAAGCCAGTTACTCCAGATAAGAATTACATTCTATTATTTTGTACCTTATACTTGGGATAAAAAGAAGACATTATGGATTGATTACTGTGATAGCAGTAAGTCAGGGAATGATACCGAGGCAGATTTGTCTAAATGGTGTAAATACTTTATTAATAAGCCAGTTTATCTATTAGCACCCCAACTATAAAACAGTTTCTCTTTACACTGTTCATCCTAAGAAAAGTTAGCAAAATGTACAATATATTCATGATTTTTTTTTACGTTTGGCCATTGGAAATTAAAGTTTTCCTCATAATCTAATACTTCTTTTCTGGTCAAACACTTTCAGTGACTTACCATTGTTGACTTTAAGTGAAAGAACAAATGGCTTAGTCTTGAAGACCGAAGATCCTCTGTAATTTAGAACCCTGGGGCCAATCTGTCTGTACAGCAAATTATTATGAGGAACGAATGAGGAAGTAAAATAAGATGAGATTTAAAAGGGAGCTCTACACGATTACTTTTTCCCTTTTACCCCAATAAATACTATTTTTGTTCCATCCAATCTTGAACAAATTAATACATCCAAAGCAAAGTCTTAAAGGGGCTTACAACTAAATATAACTGTCTCCCCTCACAAAGAATTGTGATACACAGTCAGCAGCATTTGAAACCACCCATGTGTTGCCTCCAGCTTGTTCTCTGTGATTCCACAAACTTAAGCAAAGAGATTCTTTACAACACACATATTTAGGAGTTATTTGGACCCTTCCTCTTCCCTTCCTTTCATAAAGAGGTCAGTCCTAAAGGTGGGGCGGAGCGAGGTAAGCGTCTACACCAGTGGGAGCCAAGAGGGAGCCGCGCTGACCCGTGGCCTGGAATGAGGTGTTAGAGCCTGAGTGGGGCAAAGGGGGAGTCCACCTTGTGCGAGCAGCTTGGCACGGGGTGCCAGAGCCCAGGAAGAGTGAGTCAGGTGGCCACACCGTGCAGAGGGGAGGCTAATGACATGAAGGGTCAGAGCCAAGCAGGGTAAGGAGAGCATCTATGCAGGGAAGCCACCAGAGTGAGCAGTCAAAGCCCAAACAGGGTGGGATGTGTAGGTCC